GGTGCAAGTCTTGATTCCAGCATCCAAGAGGCAGGGGCAGGTGGATATCAACGAGTCAAGGCAAGTGTTATATACACAAGTTTCAGGAAAGCAGATCATTTGGGAGACAGTAAGAAAAGAAAAGTCACTAGTCAACATAGGATTTCTAGACTGTTATTATGAAACATGTAGAATATGCCTTTCAATAAGATGGACAATTGAGGGCCTTTGATATTGCTCAGCTAAAACTCATTGTTAAAAAATTTCCACACAATCCTATCCTTCTATCACACTTCTGTCCCCATATGTATGGGGAAAAAAGGGGGGCCGCTGTGGCGGTGGGTCTCACATACATGAGGAGGTCTAAGGTTCCAGCAGCTGGGGGCCTTGGCGACAGCAGGCCCCAATGACATGAGGAAGTCCTTAGTTCTAAAAGGGTTTATTGTCATGGTGAATGGTGGATGGATCTGGAAGTACCCTCGTAAACCTCAGGGCAGTCCTGAGTTAAATAGGGAGAGAGAAAGGGGGAGGATCTGGGGAGGCACGCTTAATTTGCTCCACCCTCTGGCCTTCATTAGTATACAAATCCCTAGGGCCTGAGGCCTATAGTCACACCCTCTACCTGTGCACTTTGGGAGGGGTTGTAATGGCCTACATGACTGAACAATGTATGTCTATTGAGACGAGACTGCGCATCAGGACTCTGGGTTCTGGAGGCGTGGCCGAACACCTGCCAATTCTCATGTAGAGTCTCGGGGGGGGGTGGTTCTAAGCCCATGCCCAGCCATGAACCAGAATACCCTTACGCAGTCCCACACATATGGGCATAGCAAATCAGTTCTCAATACTTTAATGATTCTGCCAGACATCTCAGAAGAAGAAACCCAGTTTTCAATGTCTTTATCTATGATAAGGCACTAAAGGCCAGAAAACCAAAGGTGTTCAACATGAATGGTAAGTTATTTCAGATTTAAAGTATAATTCACTTCACATTCTTCATTGTGTATGAGACTTATTTTATATTCTTTCACTCCATGATGATCAATCAGTCTTTCTGGTGTTGAAGCCTCCCTCAACCATGGAAATGAATATAAGAACTAAGTGCTACATCCTGTGAAGATAATTCTCTCATGTTTTGCTGTCTTATAGATACATGAAGGATTACATAAAGGTAATAATCACAAATGCTAGGTGCCTAGTGTTTAATAGTTAGTATCCCCTTTCACCCATAAACTTAGTTCAGCACTTTCTCTGTGTCATGTCTGGTAGCAAGGATTTGTCATCTTGTTACTTAATGAGTTTCTCACAAATGCCACTAACATCAATGTACTCAAGAGGAGCCCAGTAATTTTCAAGGATAGGATTAATGTCCTCACCAGAGTACAGAAGGTCAAGAAGCTAAATACACAGTCCAGATGATTTCTGGGATCTAAGCAAGCAGAAATTTTGGAAGGTAGCCTACATGCTTTGATGACTCATCAGGTAGGTAAATGGTGTCACCTGGATGTTTCTTAGATACAGCAAGGGTATAAAGCACTATCTGACTATGTCACAGGACTCTAGGGTAGTGTTGCTTGATTGTTTTCTGAAGTAACAACAAAATAGACACTAGACAGGGTTGGCATAACAGCATAGATTAGGCTTCTAGACTTTAGTTGCTAGAAGCCTGTGTAAGCACTATGAATGTTTCACAGGATAGAAGAGTGAGCATTTGCATAATGTCATGCTATGCTATGGATTATAGAGAAAAGTTCCTAGATCTCAGAGCCTCTAAAAGCTACAAGTTGCTTGAGCAACAAATACATCAGCTGTCTGTGGCACTACTGAGAATAACATGAAGATTATCACTTATCCTTCCCTAGTTGACTCACAAGTAGAGACAAGACAATAGATGCTATGTATTTTGTTCCTTCTTTGTATAGTACTTGTGGAAACTTACATCTTGGCCTTGTTAATGCTACACTCAGGAACTCTTCCTTAGACTTCCCTATATAGTGAAATTCATTTCTGTTTAGGATATATTCCCTCCACTGAATGCCTGATCTGGTTTTTCCTTTTGTTATAATGTTAAACTTGAACACATATTATTACTTATTCTTATTTTGCTTTAAAGATTCTATTAGTTTCATTTCTGTATCAACGACAAAAAGCAATGTTGAAAACAAAGGTCTCATTTCAACTTAGAATTCCAGGTTAAAATTCAGCATAGGGGAGTCACTGCATCAGAAGCATGAGAGAGATGGTCACATGACATCCACGTCAAAGAGTAGAGAACAATGAATGCATACATAATAGCATGCTTTCCAAAACTAGCTTTCTCTGCTCTTTTACCACTTAGGAACCTCTGCCTCAGGAATAATCTACTCACACTGAACTAGGATTAAAAATCAAGAACATCTGCCTACAGATATTTTTCATCTAATTTAATTGAGATTATTCTCCATTAAGACTTTACCAGGTGATTCTAAGTTTTCATGACTGTAAAAACTTATTAACACATGGGTCAGACACAAAAGGATCATTTTTTTTTATTTTTTCTTCTCTATTCACTGCAATTCCCAGTTATTCTGCTGCTGCTCTGTGTCATGGAGATCCTCTCAATTATTGATATCATTGTTGGTTCTCTGTTTCTAATAATTTTCGATTCTTCTAGATATTGTTTCTTATGTTTCACATTGTTACCCCCATCAAGATAAACTGGCATCAGTATAGTTTGTAGGGGACTGACAAACATTTGATAGTCCTTATTCACAATTCACGTACAATCTTGAAGATATACTATCTCTCCACTTTGATATTTTATGCAGTGTGATTTGCAGCCTGGAAACCAACCAGTCTTCATTTTGAATTATCAGTAACATTGTACACACACACACACACACACACACAGAGAGAGAGAGAGAGAGACAGAGACAGAGACAGAGACAGAAAGAGAGACAGAGAAAGACAGAGAGACAGACAGACAGAGACAGACAGAGAGAGACAGAGACAGAGAGAGAGAGAAAGAGAGGAGGGAGAAAGAGATACTCTGATATATTTCAGATCTGGGTCTACAATATTTATATTTATAAATACTTATCTATAGTTAACAAACTTTCCTTATTTGGAATGCAACAGACCCAAAAAGCCTCTTGCCAGGAGCAGACTGTCTTCAAAATATGTGATTATGAATGTATTGATTCTGCCTTTCAACTCCAGTGGGCAGGTGCTACTGATTCAGCATGCTTTCTAGGGAACACAAATAAGAAGAGCTAGTACAAATGGTGACTGACCAAGAATCTACATCCTTCCTAGGAGGAAAATGAGCATAATTTTGCTTATGCTGTCTTCTATTTTCCTATATATTGATATATTCTGAAGTATTATCTTTTAGAAAGCTCAGGAGAGTTTCTAACTCATTAAATCCTGCCAATTTCATTTTTGTCTGGCATGGAGTATCATTTATAGTATATGGATAGTACTAGAAATGAAGATCAAGGCATTTACTGGGATTTTCAGTCACTGGACTTCTGATGAGCTCTTCATGGAGCTGAAAGAAAATTTGCTGTGTTTCTTATTCTATTGAGCTTCCTTGCTACGATGGTTTGTATATGCTTTACTCAAGTAATGGCACTATTAGGAGGTATGGCCTTGTTGGAATAGTTGTATCACTATGAACCTGTGCTTTAAGACACTCATCCTAGCTACCTAGAAGTCAGTATTCTGCTAGCAGCCTTCAGATGAAGGTGAAGAACTCTCATCTCCTCGGGCACCATGCTTGTTTGGAGTCCTCAATATTCCTGCCTCAGTGATAATGGACTGACCCTCTGAACCTCTAAACCAACCATAATTAAATACTGTACTTACAAGAGTTGACTTGATCATGGTGTCTGTTTAGAGCAGTAAAACCCTAACAAAGACACTCACCATAAATCTCAGTGTAAAATCACTGTAGTTTGAAGCCGAATACAATATTGAGCATTTCCAACATTTTATTCCATAGAAGAAGGTTGTATCATTGACAGAAAATTTGTATGTGTCTGGGAAATACTATACAGTATGTTGAAAGTTTTACTAATGACATGAATTCTTTTAGGGTGGTTTGATATCATTTCCAGGATCAAGAGTTCTGTCTAGGTTCAGGGAAGGACAATCATAGGCTGTGTGTCCATGTGAAGTTTTCTCACCCTAATTTGCCCATGTGTAAAATGGCATTAACACCACAGTACACACACAGTCCCTCAAAGAACTATAAGACCTTATAAAGGCCCAACTCAATGCTCAATAGCAGCATAATCAAAAACAGAGAATTTTGCTTCCAAATATAATATATTTATTGCTCTTAATATCTGTAGGGACTCAGAATCATGAGATTGAGTAAAAGAAAATTTAGAAAATATGCATTATAACCCCTGTTGCAGAGTTGGCAAATGACTGTCCCTTAACATCATGAACACTACAAAACTTACAATTATTTGAATGAACATGTAAATCACATGATCATTACAAATAAGTTCAAAGAGTATTAAAGAGGCTTTGGAGGGGCTTCATGTTCAACAAATCTATGAAAGCAAATGAGGGGCTCCAGGTTGCAGCCATGTGCACTGGACATCCACTCTTCAGTAATAATGGTAGTGACAGTGACTCAAAGCAGGAGCATCTGACCTCCTCTACCCAACCTAACTCATTCTCTGAAGTTCAGAAACTCTTAGTCAACCCTAGTCAAGATATGTGCAATGTAAATGAAGTCTAAAACATTAAGAGAGGACGTTTTAAAGTGATTGCCTTAGTTTCTTAATTCACAGCTTCCTTAATCAAGAAAGTTCCCTTTCCTAAATATGTCAGAGCTTCATTTGCAACTAGAACCTTCCTTTTGAAATGAGTATTTCATTTCAAATAACTTCACTTAAGATATTTTAAACATGCATCCAAATGGTATTTCTCTGTTGCCAGCTTACCTGCTAAATTTGTTACTTTTATCAATGATATGACAAATACCTAAAAAGAACAAATGAAGAAACACAATAGTTCCTTTCACTCACAGTTAAGGTGGAGCACAATCATGGTGGAAGGAAGGCTGGAACACCGGAACATGAGACCCTGGTCATATTACATTCAAAGGCAGAAAGCAGCAATTGTTGAATTCCAGTAACTCAACTTGTTACTACCCTTTCTATTTCTTTTGGATTTCCATAAAAGGGATGGTTTCACTTCCTCCCTGGAAGGGTATATCTTTCTTTCTCATCTAAACTGCTTCGCAAGCAACTTCAAAACACATGAAGGTCTCCTGTGGGATTTCAAAACGAGTCAGATTAACAAGAAAAGTATCTGCACATCAAGTATCCTTACAGAATAAAGGAACACTCATTGTAAGCCTCTGGTGTACTGCTTGCATCAAAATCTTACTTCTCTCATCATAATGTTCTTCTTGCCCTCACTCACACATCTCATATTTTTGTCAGATGTCCCTTCTCCACAGCCACCTGCTCAGGCACTGAAATCTTGAGTTCTCACTCCTCTCATGCTAGCTGTGAGGGAGTCTTTACTATGTGTCAAAATTCAGCATCTTATCCAGCATCCCTCACACAAGGTAGCATATTAATTACTGTCCAAAATACCGGTTTTTCTTATCAAATCTTAACATTCTATTTTTAAAATTTATATTCATTTTCTGTGGATAATATATTAATTGTCTGTGGTTTGGGGTTTAAAGGAAATGCTTTTATTAAGCACACCTGAAAACAAAGTAAACAGCTTATGTATCTAATCTAGGCACTGTAAAGATTTACATAGGGCTTTGTTTGGACCTTTGGACCCTGAGATTGTGGCAAAGCATGGTTACTTGATTTCCTTATTCCACAATAAACATTTATAAGGCTATCTCAAAGTGAAGAGGCTTTTTTCTTTTGCTCGTGTCAAGTTGGTATAAAACTAGCCAGGACAACACCCATAATTCAAGGTGCTATAAATTGTTTCTTTCCTCAAGTGTATACCCTAGTGTCCTAACTGTCCATTAACCACCTGACTCTACATTGCCTAGCTTGTGTATTGCCATGGGTTTCCCCTAATAACTGCTTAATGAAGTTGTGTTTTCTAGATACCTGTCTTCCTTCCTAGACTAGAGTGTCTACTGTGAATGTGAAGCCTGAGTGTCTGTCTCTCAGCTTCAGCTTTACTATTGCAGATATAGTTCATAATAGGTAAACAAAGCCAGTAGTTGGAAGCTGTTGCTTTCTTTTGTTAAGAATTTAAGTAAAGCTTACATTTCTTGGATATTTATGTTACAAGAAACAAACAAACAAAAAAAGAAACCAAGAACTAAGGCATCTAATCACAAGGGTAAAGGAAAAATTCCAGAAAAGAAGCTATGTCTGGATGTGAACAGAAACCTCCTGGAAGAAGGTTTTGTGTCTGCTAAGATGGACAGAGCAACTGGAATTGCTGTACTGTAAAAAGGTTGGAATTTTTGTAGGTTCAGAGGGTAATTACTTCATCTTAGACTAATGTTCGCCTTCTAGAAGTGCCATGCCTTGTTCCACTCTATATCTGAAGGTGTTAACCTTGTGATAATAAATAAAAACCTCTTAGAAGCTATTAACATAGAAGAACATGCAATTTAAACAATCAGAAAGCTGAGACTAACATCAGATGACATTTTGTAACTATAGCAAAGCTTTTCCCCACATCAATGTATCTGATTTTAAGCATGCCAATGCATTTTAAAACTTGCCTTGATTTATATCTTTTTTTTTTTTGTTCTCCAAAACTAGAAAAACTTTATGAAACAGTGTCCATGTTGGAACTTGGAATTTGAGGTAATCTAAATCTATGTTCTTGGGTGCTGGTCACACAAAATAGTTCAAGAATAATCTCTTTTTACCTTTAAGAAGAGGGGTGTGTGTGTGTATGTGTGTGTGTGTGTGTGTGTGTGTGTGTGTTTATGACACAAGCAGTTTACCTTGATGTATCCTTACCATCCCTACCAATGTCCTCTTCCCCCAGCAGGCACCCATGCTAATTCAAAGGCCTCCCCTGCCAGGGAAGCAAGTTGTTGGACAGCAGACACACACCTGTGCTTCTGCTCCTCCAAGTCCAATCCTGTCGGTCTAACTCTGCAATGAAACAGGAGCTGGAGCTTCAGCCAACCTCTCCTGTCCTGCCTTCTACCCTTTTTTTCCACTACTCATTACTTAATTTAGCAGGCACCAACTCCAACAGGCACCCCTGCTAGTCCACAGGCCTCCCAAGCTAGGAAACAGTATACTGACTACAGATCTTCTCCTCTAGTCTCAGCCTGCAGCAGAAACACTGTGGCAGCCTTCCTTGTTCTGTCTCCTGTTTATCCCTCAGTTCTACATTCTCTTCCCGCTCAGCCCGTTTCTTTCTTGACGACTAAAACTCACTCTCTTACTTTTCTGAGCTCTTCCAAGTGTTCAGGAACGATCATTTCCATGGTTGACTCATTACCAGACTCGAGCACTTAAACCTAAGTTTAATTAGAGAAAGAAACATGCGCACACAGCAATTGTGGTTATTTCTCAATCTGCATTCACGCCCTGTTGGAAGGGAACTAGCTATATGGTTTCAGTTTCAGTAGCTCTGCAGTGTAGAGGAGAAACGCCATGGCTGGTAAGTTTTCTCTGTTATTAAAGGGGCTCATTTGGGAATAAGACATTTGGAAAGGGACTTGCTTTTCTGAAAGCCATCACTAGTTTCTTGCGTTATTTAGATGAGCTGAATCTGGGCAAAGGGAAGACTGTGTAGAAGTCTGCACAGAAGATAATCTCTGGCCAGGGCCAGAAAGGAAATGGTGCTTTACTTGTATCTTGCCATCATTGCCATCGTTTTTGCAATTATTTATTTATTTATTTTACACTATTAATTGTCCCTAGTGTGACAAAGGGAACTGGATGAGTGACAGAGATGGTTGCAGCAAAAGAAAATGGTTTATGCTTCTTGAGTTCTAACAGAAAGACGGTAACTCAGTACATGTGCCTCACACTTTATGATTTTGTGTAATGTTGAAGGGAAATGTGGAGCAGCAATAGAAAAACAAGAGCAGGAGAAATGATGTTTGTGAAAGGGACATTTTGCTGATTCACTCTGAAAGATAGTATGCCTTCTTTACTAAATGAAAGGAACATGCAACTATTTTCTTGACTTGAGAATTCTTTGTGCCTTAAACAGACAAGATCCTGAAGGCAAAGAGGAAGCAATTTATCGAGTCTGTGACTCAAGAGACAGTAGATGGATTGCTGGATGAACTTTTAGAGAAGAGAGTGTTAAACCAGGGAGAAATGGAAGGAATACAACATAAAAATAGAACTGTTATGGACAAGGCACGAGACCTATGTGATCATGTCTCTAGAAAAGGACCCAAGGCAAGCCAAATCTTCATCACTTACATTTGTAATGAAGACTGCTACCTGGCAGAAAGTCTGGAACTTCAATCAGGTAAGACTCTGCATCTTAGACCAAGTTGAGAGTCTATTTACTTGGACAACCAATGTCTGATTGATATATTTCTTATGTAGTTTGAAGACAACTCTCTCACCTTGAACTCCAGACACCCATTTTTGTGTCCGTGGTCTTGTTGTCTGTCTCATGGCTCCTTTATTCCTATTCCTTCTGCCTTGTCTCTTGTAACACACATAGGTCTCTGTCTCGCTAATCTCAATCTCTCAATAGGACCTTGCTATGGTGAATTAATTTCCTTTGTCACTCTTCAGGTCTATCAGCTGAAACTTTTGTTACTACTAAAGATTCTAAGGGAGGAAATCCTTCCTCTTCAGATACACATACTGGTAGAGGAATAATATCCAGTGGACCTTCTTTCACCATTATCTTCACGGGGTGAACCGAAGTTGGGGGTGCTATGAGTAACTTACATTTTCTTCTTCTTAGTCTCTGTATATCTTTCCTGAGCAAAGCAGTTCTTGTGTATTTATATTAAAACTTTCTGAGTCTGTGTCCAAGTCTTATCTCCCTAGTTAAGTACCAAACCTTACCATTCAAGTGCCTAGTACACATATTCCCATTTTTTTTTCTGGATATTTTATCTGAACACCCCCCAAAGGTAATTTTGTCATTTTTCTCCAACCCACCTCTTAGCAGTTTTCTTAATCAATGCTATCATCACTGGCAGTTGTTCAAATCTGAAACTCAAAAATGCAGCCTAACCGCTTCTTTCACCTCCTACCTACTTTCAGTCTGTGGCTAGGTTTTAATGAGTTCCTCTCTCAAGTCTTCTATCGTCTTACCTCACACCTGTTAATCATAGCATATAATAGCTGCCAATTATGAAATCTCTACAGTCATCTATGTCAGCTTTAATTTTCTTGATCATTACAAGAAAAATAGTTATCATATGCCAATTGTGCTCCAGATATTATTCTACAGAGTGTTCAAGAATAAATATGACAAATTATACTTCCCGACTGAATTGAACTTGCGTAAATATTATTTAAAATAAAAAAGTATAATTAGTAATAAAGCTATCACTAAGTTAAAGTTGCCACCACTTCAGTCATAGTAACAATAATACAAATTCATTTTAAGACAACATTGAATGCAGTAAGAAAGTCAATATTCACCTTTGTTCTTACATGGTAGAAGGCTGTTTATTATTCATGATGACTATAAAATAGTCATTCTCAATGAGCAAGGAGCTCTCTTACATGCCAGACATCTTCCACATTGTGTCTCACACCTACAGTCAACAGAGCTAACAGAAATATGCTTACAGTTATTCTGTAAAAGACATTGCAATGAATGTGAGAAGATTATTTGTGGAAGGCTTTGTAAGCTCAGCTTAGATGTGTCACACACCAAACACATGTGTGACTTCTATGGGATACAGCTGATGACTCAGACAGGATACGTTCTGGAGTGATGGTAACAATGACAGCTTGACGGTCCACGGTGACGGCATCCTACAGACACTGAGTACAGAATCTGAGAGTGTACAGTCAACTTTTCCTACAAATAAAAAGCAAACATAAGCTTCATTTCACACAACATAGAATTACCACAGAAAATATTTATTTTGCAAATGACAAAACCCTGCAGATTGATTGGAACGGTCTGCATTGAAATGGTCCCTCTAGATTATAGAAGCTGAGGCAGTCAGCACAAACCACACCCCTTTTTAATAATGTTACTTTTGAGTAAGTTCATTTTTTTCTTAAGAATAA